ACCAAAGCTGAAGCATTGCCTTCAGTCTTGACACCTTCACTTGTTGTACAATCAACAACGACTCCTATCCCCAGAAAGAGAGCCTACCAGCTGAAGAAATCAAGAATCCCCAATGATGCTGCATTCAAGGACTATATTAGAGGCAGCAAGAAAGAGACAAAGAGAGTCATGGAATGTGGAAGGATACCATTGGAGCTGCAAAGGAAGTTGCAAAGGATTTTCTATGAGCTGCTGTTACCATGTTCAATCAGTGGCAACAACACAACGCTTACCATCATCCTTCACACCATTTTTCTCCTCTGCAACATTTGTATGCCTCCCCTCTGCAGCCTCTGTACACTTCCACACCTTGGCCTCCACTGCGCAAACAACAACACCAGGAATCCCATGGCAAGGAGGAGGAAACAGGCATTCTTTAACCAATGATTAAACTTAAACTGAACCGCTTACTAGTTACTACTACACTAATTAAATTAAATGAGCTAATTAGCTTGCTTGAGCAGTCTGCAACAACAGTTCTTTGTTGTTTGAGATGTTGTACATGGCAGTACTTGTTCCACCAGATCCTACCCATTTGTGGTTTTCATGTATATCTTTCCCAAACACTCACAGGGGATTATATTTGATGTATATCCTGTAATGAAGAATATTCTTGATTAAACCTCTAAGATGGAGCAATGCATTATAAATCAAAAGACGGTGATGAGGACTAAAGGATGATAGAATGTATGTGATTGCTATTCAATGACAGCCGTTGGGCAAAGCAAACCCTCTTTTGTGGGATTGTACACTGTGTTGAACGCTTTCTAATCCTGTTTTCGTTACATGAAAACCTAGTTTCTACTGCGGTATTGTAGAAGTTAGTACTCTAATTGGTATCAAAAAGCACCACCAAACGCAGCAAATGAAGCAACAGCTACTGCAGCTGTAGCTATTCATTATTTGAATACTGTGCAAAGAGTACTGCATTGATTAAACAACCTATTTACTGCTATCTATGGTGAATGCTGCTAGTCTAAGGTAAAGGAAAAACAGCAAGAGACCATGGCGGGTAAGAAGTGTATTTTTGCTAGCGTATTGATTAATTGCAATGTTGATTGATTGCTGTATCGCTGTAAGGATCAGTAACTAAACTGCCTCTTTCTTTTGATTAACTGTCTTCTTTTCAACTAACCACAGTATCCCATCATCCAGTTGACCATGGAATTTGTCCTGAAAACACACCGCTGCCATCAAGTGATATTCCTCTACCTACTTTGAAGTACCCTGCAATGAGATCCTCCTTCTTGTAGGGAAACTCATTGGTAGTGGCAGCAGGTGTCTTCATGAAGGTGGATAGAATTTGCTTGTGTCCTATGGTACTGCACTGGAAGATGTAAAAGTTGATGAGGAGGTTCGTGATGATCCTCCAATATCTAAGCTCTTCCAAGAACATTAGTTCTTTAATCCCTGGGAACTGTCCCTGAACCATCCTCATCCCCCATTCCAATATCTGTCTCGAGAACGTGGTGTCCCTGTTCAACAATACTAGGAGGTTATCTCTGTCAGGATCCCTCTGTGAGCTCTTGATTAGGCCATCCTGGAAATGCTTCAATGCAAAGGCTGAGGAGTCTACAACAACATTTGCCCTATTGTATGTTTTGTGGATCTCCTCAATCCTTTGATAGACCCTGTGGTCAGCAATGGAACTGTCATGCCACCAGGCCCCTGGGCAGTTGTACACTGCAATCCTGATTGTACCATCTGGGGCAAAGGCAAACACACTATTAACAAAGGTTTTTTCCTTCCAAGCGTTGTAAAAAGCTCTTTGTTTGTACCAGTCCTGTGACTGTTTGATGACACTCTTCAGCCCATCAGCAGCACCCCAAATGTGTTGTTCTCCAAGCCTTAGATACTTGTCTCCAATAGCCTTCACATAACCATCCTCTTCTTGATTGGTTGGAATACTGACCATGGCGAGTGTGTGTTTGTGAAGGGCAAACAAGCATCACTCTCTTTGAAAACTTGAGCCACTTGTACATCACTGTGGATGTCAAGCCAAATCCCAKTRCCATTGCTATTGCAACAGATTCTCTTCTCCTGTACCAATAGAGGACCATCCCAACAACACAGACTGCATGAACCTCCCTCTTCTTCCCTTTTGGCTTGCCAGCACTAGGATAACAAGGAACTTCTACAATCTCATTGTTGTTGTTGACAGTAAACTTGTTGTATGCTGAGCAAACAAATCAACAAGCTCCCTGAAGACCATGTGGTCTACACCACAACAGTTCAGTAGTGCTTGGTCATCCCCTGAGTGGAAGAGATATAAAGGGGGAATCAGCATATCTCCGGATTGTAAGCCTCAAGGTTCTCCTGTCCCTCCGGCATCTCTCTTCTGGAGATAGTTTGTTTTTGTAACTTCTGTGCTGCTCTTCCACATTCAATTGTATGTACCAATACATAATGATGACCTCCACTACTACCATTGCTGTTGCCTTTTTTCTTCCTAGGAGGAAAGTCTGGTCTTATAGTGTGGCTAGTAATTGTTTGTTGTCAATTAGCTAGTGCAAGAAGGACCACACATATTTTCCATTCAAAATTATGAAAGCACCAATAATATGTGTGTTCCTTTCACTACAGATAAGGAAGTACTACTACTCTGGGGATTCCCCCTACACTGATTTCTTTATATTGGTGTCATGAGTTCAGGTGCAAAATACGGCATGGTGACAGCATTTTAATACCTGTACAAAACCTGTAGTCTTAGCTTAGCCTTAATTTGAACCAACATGGCCAACTTGTCACCTTTCAAGTCACCTTTCAAATTTGAAGCTATTTCAGTTGACCTTTCCAAGCATGTTTTTGCCCACTTTTTGAGAATTCAGATCTGCCAAAAAGAATACAGCATGTGCAAAGAACATTACCAAATACAAATCCATTTCAAAGAACAGATTTCTTTAGAACAAAATACTTACTACTGGGTGCTCAATGCAGCACTATCTTACTACTAACCACTGAGTATTATTCTTCAGCAATTGATCCCTTCAGACCCTCCAAAAAGACCCCCACAGAAAGATTGGAAGCAGTCCTCTCTTCTTCATCAGTCAAGCTTGCAAAGAAAGACAGTGCCTGGTTCTTCAATCTCTTCCCCCCCTTCCATGCAGAGGCTCCCTGATAGTTATCTCATCTTGTCTCAGTTTCTGCAGCAAAGCCTCTTCAGCATCAGTCCAAGAAGCCGTTGGAGGGGGGGATATTCTTCACTTGCATCCACATAGTAGTATCCAATAGCCTCTTTTTCTTTGCAGGAATTTTCTTTTGTTCTTCCACTAGGAAAATACAGTCAGTGTAGTAGAAACTGGAATGGACTTGGTATCTTCTTCCTTCTTCTAAACATCTTTTTGCTGTGAACCAAACTGTTCAATTAAAGCAACAGCTTTGATGTTCAAAGCCTCCAAACAAGACTTCTTGTTCTTCATACTAGCTTATTCAAAGAAGCTGTGGTTGACCCATTGATCTGCAACGTCTATATCCTCTTGCCATTAAAGTAAGGAATATAACACTGGTCTAGTGAGTGCAATTGGTTGAGTATTGATCAAGAACTGAAGAGGTGACACCAGTTTGGTGGTGGTCTACTATTGCTGATGATTGGTTGTTGTTTCATGAGTTTCTTTTTTGAATTGGTGTTTGTGCGCAGCAGAATAATCTAGAAGCAGGAAAAGGTTCTTGAGAAAAGACACTCAGCAAGATACACATATATGTGAAGAGATAAAAAAATGTTTCTAACTTACAGATTATGTAATTCTGATTGGTTCTTTGTTAGGAGAATCTGATTACTAAAAATGGAGCGTTTGTACTGTACTCATAATCTGTTTGTACGATGTTACAGTAGTATGATAGTCTTATTTCGAACCTAACAAGTACTGTACCAAGTAAGGTACCAGGTACTGTACCGTATCTTTGACAAAACGGGATAAAAATTTAACCCATACTTTTTCTCTGACGACCCAACCAACTGAACATGAAGTACGATACCGCAGGATAAACGATCGAGCATAGATGTCATTACAGATGCTGCACAAAAGAGAGAGACCGACTTCTGAGCCTCTCCGCTCACCATTGAGCATGATACTGGCTTGGCCTGATTTCTGTTTCTATGAAAACTACATTCCCGCACGGATAACATCACAAAAGAAATGCCTTCTGCATGCGTTCTCATTCACAGCAGCAAAGCTTCCTTTGTGCTTGTTCCCTTTGAGTCAGGCATGAACGAATCAATTTTGACATGGTTCTCTTTGTGTAGCACAACGGTTGGCATATCGTATTTGAAATCAGTCTTACGTCGCGTTTCGAATTACAACAAGTATGATAATGATAAAACTGCAAATCGTATTTCGGCTTCATAGTAAAGTCGGAAAGGACCAACTTTTATCTACGGCAAGATGGTTAGGCAAATTAGAACCGTCAGAGACCAAAAGCGATAACATTATGCGCTGGGAATCGTCTCCTCACAATAGTTGATCATTGCAACAGTCAACAAAGTTCCAAAGCAATCCTTCGCAGTGAGTCTATCTATGACGAATCATTTCGAATTCGTGGCGGTCCTTTTGGTATTGCTGTTGTGTGTTGGAGCCAAACAGCAAGTGGTTGCTGAYAAGGTTCTTATCGATAGTGGCTCCGATGGAGGGACCTTCGAATATGACAAAGCAATAGCAAAAAACATTCGCCGTGTAATCGATATGGCTTGGACACCAGACGGGCGTGTGCTGATAGCAGGGAAAGAAGGTGAAATTTATATTTTTGATGACGGTGATGTAGAAGGCGACAAGAAATTGATCCACAACGTGAATCCTTGTACGGAGCAGGAGCGTTCTTTGCTGTCGATTCTCGTTCATCCAAAATTTGGAACCAAAAGCAACGGACAATTTGATTTTGTCTACGCATATTGGGTTCACAAAGGCAAGGATGGAAATTGCATGATACCCGATAATTTTAAAATCATTAATAAAGATGGTCCGTATTGCCAGTTGTCACGGTTTCAGTTGACTAAATCGAACAAGCTCCAAGATGAAGAAGTTCTGTTGAGAACAGGGAATGCAGGTAAGGGTTGGTTCTCGTTTCAGAGTCCGACTCGGTAGAGCTCAAATGTTATACTTTTTGCTTTGAACTATGATATGAAAGGGACGTTGAACTGTTCTAAAAATTTCTCCCTCCTCAAAACATCGCACTTGATACTGTATCGTAGGTAAAATGCATAATGGAGGCGGTATGAGTTTTGGTCCAGATGGCAATTTATATTTGGCTACGGGTGATACTGGTTACCCAAGAAGCATCGATCCAGCGAACAATCTAGATAATTTGTGGGGGAAAATTCTACGTATTAAAGACGATGGAACAGTCCCTTCTGATAATCCCTACGTTGGACAGAACAAATCCCAACGATGCGGTGGGAAGATCATCAATCCAGGTGATGGTAAATCGCGTGTGTGTACGGAAATATTTGCTCGAGGATTTCGAAATCCGTTTTCGTTAGAGATGAATCCAAACATCAAAAATGGCGACGTTGAATTCCATATCAGTGATGTCGGCAGGGAGAATTGGGAAGAAATCAACATCGGTGGCACAGGATACGAAAAAGCTAACTACGGATGGAGAGAACGTGAAGGACCATGCCAAATGGGTAAAACCTCAAGCAATAGTTGTGACAAGGTTGATCCTTTGGAATTTGTTGATCCAATTCATTTTTATCAGCATACTAATAGTAGAGGTTCAGCATGTGTTGGTGGTTCTTTTATTCCAAATGGGATCTGGCCAAAGGAGTACGACAACGAATACCTGTATGCGGATTTGCGAGCTCAGAGCATCTTTCGCATGAAACTCGACAAAGACAACGAATGCCGAGGTAAACAGTGCGACAAACAAAAATCAAAGTACATCGGGGTACCCATCGTCAACAATATCGAAGGGAATTCTGTCTTGCGATTACGCTTTGGTCCTCATAGCAAAAAACGCTCGGACCAGATCTCTCTGTATCACCTTTTGTACGATTCGGGAAAAATCAACCGACTTACTTACATCGGAAAGGGGGGCGACTCTGACGACAATGATGTGAGCAACAATCGAAAACCTGAAGCTGTGATTGAAACTTTTTATTCTTCGGATGAAAAAGGGGTCACTGTGAGATTTGATGGATCAAAAAGCAGTGACCCCGACGGAGACAAACTCAGCATGGAATGGGAATTTGGTGAAGAGGACCAAGATGATACCAATGATGACTCTCCAATTACATCTCACACCTACCGAAAATCCGGTCGATTCACCGCTTCCTTGAAAGTGAGTGATGGGAACGGAAAAACGTCAAAAACTACTGTTACCATCAATGTTGATAAGGATTATGATAGATCTTCTGATAGTGATCATGGAATTCCAACTCTTCAAACCTTTCCTTGGAGTGAAGAATGTGACAGTTACCATGATGACGATACGAATATCGATCGATGCGGGATACTCGAATTTTGCTTCGACGAAGATTCTGGAATTTATGGTTATCAGATTGCGGAAGGAGGGCAATGTGGTATTTTGACGATGGTTTCGGCGCCCGTTATTCGACTGCAACCAGGCTTTACTTACCGATTGACGTTGCGGAATCTAACTCCAGATCCTACTAACATTCACACGCATGGATTGCATATCGTTGGATCGGGTAACGGTGATGATGTTACAAGAGTTATGGATGGCGGGGGGAACTGCATGGATTACAGTAAGTTTGATTTTTCCACGTAGTGACGTCAGTCGTTCAATTAGTACTCAAATACTAAAATATGAACACCAACTTTTTTGTCTGCGTATCATTATGTTCATAAACGAAAAGCTTGGGACATCAGATCGGATCATCCAGGGGGGACATACTGGTGAGCGAAAGTATCATTGTTTGTAAGGTGATGTTTATTTCCACTTTATCGATTGTCATTCCTGAACTCATCAACCCGGATTCCCAATTTATGCAGGTATCACCCGCATGCCCACTCGTTTTCCGAGGTTCAAGTAAATGGCGGGGCATCTGGTCTTCTCGTTGTAGAGGACAACACAAATAACGACGATAACATTCCAGGCTGGGCATCCAATGAGCTCTTACTCCAAATCTTACGACTTGACGATGGTTACAAGATGTTGAGTAATGGCAGGTCCTACGAGATTTTTAATCTAAAGGCTGGTAAATGGTACAGGATGCGTATTTCGACCGTTGATCCATTAGGAGCTCCCCAGGAACTTCGTTTCACATCAGGATGTGAAGTTCATAAGGTCGCTAGCGATGGCGTTTGGCATTCAGTTGTTCCGTTTGATGAGGGCTCAATGAACAAGTTCGAAATGACTGGTTCGTCTCGTGGAGATTTTGCTATACGCTGCAACATTTCCCCCGGGATCAACATCCGATTTAGTGATACAATTGTTGCAATCTTGAATATCAAGCAAGATGGTTCCTCAACTTTGAGGCAGGAGATAGGAAGATGGCAGCCTAAACGTCCTCCATCGATTCAAAATATGGTATCAGCTACTGTTGCAGACGAAAATAAACTTGTCATCAAAATCAAACGAGATTCAATCAACGACAGAGAATGGAATCCCTTTGTCCCCCTTGGATCCCTTGCTTATGACGAAGTTCATGAATGGGAATTACCCGATACGCGGGAGCACCCGTTCCATATTCATCTATATCACATGCAAGTGGCGACACCAAATGGATGTGGCAACGACTTTCGAGAGGGCGAATTCTACGATACTATATCTGCTGGGCCATGCACGGTAAGATTCCGTACATCCGACTTCGGTCAAAGGCTTGTTGTACATTGTCATGTGATGCTTCATAGTGACCTTGGATCTATGGGGTGGTTTGATGTTAGAGGCRCTGGCATGCCCGTATATGAATTGACGTCACAACATCACGATTGCTCTGGAAATATCGTACCGTCACCGACGATATCACCAACCAGAAAGTTCGACGAAGGTATTGAAAATTGCAAAATATTTGATAAGCTGTCCTTTACAGCAAATGCCAATAAATTTTGTGAATATAGTGATACTACTATCGGAAACGACGCAGAAGAGAAACAGTGTGGAATGGGGCCAGTTGATATGAAACTTTCTATTAATTCATCAAGTTGTAACAATGACTGTTTTGTCGCTTTTACGATCGCTGGTGAGTTTGTCACGTATAAGTTCCTCACAAGCTCGACGGTTGGTAACGTAATGATCAAGGCCAAGGTTGCAAGCAAGCTCAGTAAGAAGAAAAGGTTTCGATTGATAATGCTGGACCAAAACTCGGAAAGTGGTGTATTACTTGCTCCTGGTAAAGGGTACGAAGTATTCGAGGAAGTGACATGGGAGTTGTCGGGCTTACCCAAAGGCCTCCATCATCTACAGGTTTACTTCATAGATGGCAACATCAATCTTTGTAGTATCGAAGTACAGATGAACACTGTCTCGGAACCAGGGCCGACGCTTGCTCCCATGCAACCATCGGTATCACCGCTACCACATTCTCCGAATCAGAGTACACAACCCAACAATGATTGGGCTATTGACGATCAATCCAACGATGTCTCGGAACCAGGGCCGACGCTTGCTCCCATGCAACCATCGGTATCACCGCTACCACATTCTCCGAATCAGAGTACACAACCCAACAATGATTGGGCTATTGACGATCAATCCAACGATGAAGAACCAAGAATGCCCATTTCCATTCCTCCGGTCACTTGGGCGGCACTCGACTACTACGAAGCATTTGAGAAAACACCCGAAAGTATTGGTGATGGATGTAACTTTCGCGGTGATGGAGTAGATGCAAAACGCACAGAAGATAGGACTTGCATCGTTCGGGATAATTCGCAGTGCTACATAGGTTGGTGGGATCCCGGTGAGCATCTTCTCTATCGCATTTCTATACCTAGAGGGTTGTCACAAAATTACGACATCAAAGTCCGCGTAGCGTCAAAACGAGAAGCAAGAGATATTGGAATGGAAATAATAAGTTTTGATGGGACCAAGATTTTGCAATCCAAGCAGTTCGAAGCACCAGGAAACGGATGGCAAAATTTTAAGGATGTAGTTTGGGATTCTATTGACTTGAACGCTGGTAGATACATTCTCAAGATCCTCTCTAATACCGGGAGTATAAACCTTTGTTCTACGTCTGTCATGCCTACTAATAATGAGCCTGATCAGGATCTTGATTTCGAAATTCAGGTTCCGGGATATTATAATGCTTTGCATTATGCTAATATAGGGTTGTTGGACACAACTGTTGAGCATCGAGGAGACTGTCCGTACAGGAAAAATACACCGGTAGATGCAAAGATGAATGATGATTTGGTATGCAAACAAGCAATCTCCGAGTACGACTTACACTGTCATATAGCGTTTACAGAAGTGGACGAGTTTCTTACTTACAGATTTCGGAAGGTGCCCACGCAAACCAAAGTTCGTGTTTCTCTTCGCGTCGCAAGCAAGAGTCCTCGAGAAATTCTTGTGGAACTCGATTCACTAGAGACGGCAGACAATTTTTTTTTCAGGGCTACTAAAGTGGTTCAAACTTCTGGCAACGAAAAGAACTCTTGGGATATATACGAGACAATTGCTGTTTGGGATGAAATTGATATTGGTACTGCCGAGAACTACAGTCTCAAAATAGTGTTTTTGAGTGGTAGGACAAACCTCTGTGCAATTGGAATTGATTACATTTCGTTAGTGGTATGATTAATGGGGCTATTACCTGGCATCATTGATAAGAGCATTATAAATGATATCATATAGCTACTCCATGATGTTTTTAAAATATAAGTTTGCTTTACCTCTGTCCATTCAACTCCCTGAACATCTACACATCAAGCAATATACCCATCAATGTTGACACTAATTTCACAATCCTGGTACCCATTCTTCAGTTTGATAGACTTGGATGTACACATGGCTCCATTTTCTTCTGGTTTTTCAACATCTATGTTGTCATCAATCGTGACAGGTCTACCAACATACAATTTAAGCATTGGATCTACTATCCTTTTCTTGGAAGGTTTGATTCCACCTGCAACAATGTCAGCATCTGATGTGGGAGTTGGTAAGCAGAATTTCTGAAGATCTGGCATGTCTTTGTATTTTCTGGTTTTGTCAATCTGCAGTTTTAGGTTTGAGGCCTTAATGATAATAGTGTGAACTGACAATCTTTCACTCAAATAGTCTCCATCTGACAAAACACTACTATCACCAGAACAACATAAGTTGCCACCATCTTTTCATGGACCACATTTCCTAGCATTGGATCTCAGATCCAGATCTCAATTCAGGTTCCTATCCTTTGTGGTTTTAGGACGCTCCTTGTTTGAATCCTTTTTGTGTTCATACATTGCTCTGTTGGAAGGAAGCAATAAAGCTTTCCATGGTCACACTGTTCTCCAGAAGCAGGCCTTTCACCACCAGGCATTGTTAACAAAGAGAGTCAGACACTTTTTTCTCTCCACCCCAAAGTTGTCCAACTGAAACTGCTTTGTTTCCCCACTGACCCTGAAGCTTTCCTATTCGATCTCCACCAATGCTTCCTTCTTGTACTGCTATGTCAGGGTTTATAAAACATATGTACTARGAGCATTCAAGATGCTGCTACTATTCCCACTATCAATACCAATCTGATTATTCAGTACTTCTTCCATTTATTGACTACTACTAATTGCAAACAACTACTGGAGGAGAGCATCACTTGAGACATATTAGTCTTACATACTACATACTCCAAAAAGAGACAACAATACTACTGCTTTGAATAATCATCCCATCATACCTTACTAGTACTAGAGGCCATCAATGTTGGTATATTCATTGCTATGGTCCATGTTGCTGTTCCCCAGCTTCTTATTGGAGAGAAAATGGCAGTATTGCTGGAGTATTTCTTGTATTAGTAGGACTCAAACTTGCCCAACAAGGTTTTGGTTGGTTATTTGTAGTAGGGGTGATTGAGAAGCTACTTTGAATTACTAATTTAAGGAGTAGCTGTAGTCAATTTCCAGCAGTAGTAGCTATGCAATGATAGATTGCTATTGTATAGAGTTGGACAGCAGATCTACAATCCAGCCATAATAATGACTACTTTGACTAAAAAACTAAACACATACAAAATGCACATGTTCAATACTTGACTTTTTGAATCCCACTAGTTGTGCAACCCAATAGTTTTGCGCTCACATGCGCAACTGACAATTTTGGCTTCAAACACATGCAAATTGCTTAGTTAAAGTAGTCACCATTACACAGTGAAAAGATAGCCTAAAATCAGTAGAAAAACACGTGGAGCATTAAGAGAGGTTCAGTAACCAAGCCTATACCATAGATCAACTAGAAAATTGCTTCACCTCCTAGCAGCTTTATAACAAACAAATAGTAGTAGCCATTTTTCATATAGGGGATGAGCATAAATATTCTTGACTTAGTTTGAGTAGTAGTCACCAGTCCAGTAGCTGRAGGTAAATTATCACCAGTTGTTTTATAACGTCCCTGAATCCACCATTGCTAACAGAATATTTCTTCCATATTTACTGGACAATTCCTCTCTCTTGGTGTGTACAGTCAGGATCTGATTGTGGCCAGCAAGATGAGGAAGTTGTACAAGGGCAGCACCTACTACTAGTAGTAGTAGTTCAGTATTGACTTTACAAACTATTCATTGCTATTCAATTAGGATTTAACATGTGCAATTTCCTTGCAACAGGAGCTTCTTCTTGCTCATTTAACACAAAAGGACATTGCCTCCTGACTAGTGTATCCACCAACATAGTATCAAAAAATGAAGGAGGTATTAGAGAAAACTAGAAGTCCATTTTATTACGTACGTGCTCCAAAATCATAAAATTTGACAATGAATAGATAGATGTATGGGTTATTATTTCTTCTTTTGAATATCTTTTTAAATTATCTTTTTGGTGGAAATTCTTTGATTAGAGGACTTGACAGTGAAATGATTCATTTGAGTTTCACATGAGCAAGAAAACTCCTACTAGCTAGTGGTACTACTAGTAGTGCAAGTAGTAACCTGGTGGTAATACTAAATAATGAGCATCCTACTTTTTTCTATTCTTTATATAATCCCTTTGATGTATTTGCCATTGCCAAACTCTGGCAGGCGTATGTTTGAAATGAAGACATACTGGAAAGTGTCGAAGCTTCCTTGGGCTGTTGTTGTGACCAAACTATGGGCATCCACAAAAGGGACTGTTCCTGGTGGGAGGCAGTGCTCATGAATTAGACACATAGTGCTTCTACTATCCAATAGGACTTTGAGTGTATTCATAACTGGAATATCTTGGATTGTTTTACAAACCAGTATAACAGCTGGAAGCAAATCTGGATTCAGAGCTCTTAAGGTCTCTGACGTTGGGTTCTTAAGGGCTTCTTCATTATCAAGGCCAAATAATTCTATACTCTCTTCCGGTGAATGAGTAGTTGGTGCTGGAGGCAATACAAAGAAAGCCTCTTCCTGCACTGTCTCCTGTGGCTATCACCATTGTTGATTGAGGCCTTGGAACCTAACCGAGGAGGCTGCATTGCTGGATTGCACGGAGACATGGCTTGGAGGACCACCACTTGAATTAGAACCATTATTTTGTGCTTGAGCAAGTTGATAAGTTTGAAGAGGAGGCTGTTGTTGCAGTGGAATCAGCTGTCCTTTTTCATTAAGATGATAATTGCCTGGTGCGTATGTCCGATTGTTGGTTGAGCTTGAATTTGATTTCAAATTTGAGCCTCGGTTGTTATTGTTATTATTTCTCCGACTGTCTCCTTGGTAATTGTTACCTCTCCTGTTGAATGGGCATTCTCCCCAGGTGTGTTCACTGTTGTGCTTCCTGTAGGGCTTTGAGTTGATTTTCTTCTGTCTTTCATTCTGATCTTCATTACCAGCGCTGTTGCTGTTGGTGTTGCCTTGCTTTTGCTTCTTTCCATTCCTCCTGTGCTTGCTTGAATCATTTGCTGCTCTTTTCATTGCTTGGGTGTGTTCCTCATCTGCTATTCCTTTCTGATCTGTCATGTATTGTACTATTTGTGTAATGGATTCATTCAGGATGTCCTTTCCACAAAGAATGTAGCCATTTTGCCAAGGTTTTGGGAAGGACCTGAAAAGGATCTGTTTGATTTCTCTATCTGATAATGGCTGACAGATACCATGAATGAGATTGGCTCTGGCACAGCAGGTTTCAACTCTATCTGCATGAGCCTGTCAGGATCTTGTTAGCGGCTTGCGGGTAGCGTCTGAGTAAAGATACTCAATAACTTCATCTCGGGCTCTCTTTGAAGGCGCATATAACTTTCTGAAGGTCAGGAGAGCCTCTTTCCATTGTTCCTTGTTGGTTCTCACCACTTCCAGTCTGTTCTTGTTCCACATACTGTTCCACTTCTGTCCAGGCCTGTGCRCAAGGACCATTTGCCACTTCTGATCAATTTGTTCCTCCCTCAGCTCCAAATCCAATATTGCATCTTCAAAGTCCTCCTCAATGTGGAATAATTCTTGCAATCCATGTTCTCCTGAGAAGACCAAGCAGTTCCTTGTTAGTTTCTTTGCTGGTTCTCTAACAATGACTCTTCTTCCCACGGTTTCCGTCAGTAGTTGAATCAAGCTTATTAGTGTCAAAGCTGTTGATAAGACTGAGGCAGGATTTATGTGAGTGTTGATGTTGTTTGGAAGAGGAATTATTCCCATTTTTGTTTTGTTTCACCATGGTTGATTCACTTATCTGGTTATTTTTCTTAAGGGTTGTTGATTAATTTCACACATTAAAAACCCGGTAGTAATTACTGTGCACAAGATTACTTGTACTCTTAAGTGTCAAGTGTGTATGAAATTGAAAATTATAAGATTAAAGTGTTATCAAGTGTATCGTGCGAACAATAGATTTCTTGAGTTCTGATTAGATCCCTATGTAGATTCTGGTACTGAATCTACGTGGGGTTCTTACTATTCCAGACTTGTGACATCTTTATTCTTTGCAACGTCACCATACGTCGTATTCTTTGACCTCTCGATACAATGACATATGATATATATATATATATATATGAATACTAGTACCTTATGATATGTAGGTAGGAATGGTATATCCAACCATACCGATTCCTTATCGTACGTGCGTATACTTCCAATACAGTACGTACGTATCTGTTGCATTCTTCTTTCAAGGACAGGAGAAATAACCTCAGCAACAAAGACTTTGTGAAATGTTGTATGCTGTGCAGTACTACTAGTACTACTAGTAGTAGTACATCACAGTATCCCATTCAACAGCACTACTAGTAGAGGTCACGTAACACACCACATACCAGATATCCCATTCTGTTTCTACTCTACTAGTAGTAGTGGTAGGTGGAAGGATTAGCTTGTGTAAAAACCATGTGTGTGATGTCGAGGGTGGCAGTTCCAGTCTCTGCTTGACTACTATGCTTCTATGGTAAAAACGTACGGTATGATAGTGCATGAACAAATCGTCTTCAGAAAGCATTCGATCAGTAAATATGAAAAAGAGTGTCTCCCGCCCGCCCACGACCCTCATCAAACGAAGATCATTATTTACTTGGAGGAACAACGATTCTTTTGTAGTGAACTATTTTGATGGTCCATACACGACATAAAAAAATATTTAAGGAATGTTCTTCTTTTCATGAACTGTTGGACATCTGGAAATTATCAACATTTTGATTGGATGAACGTATTTTTCGAATTTTCATATCTCTTTGCTTTACCTCGACCGGTCGGCATCTGCTATTCTTTCGGGTTGACGTTTTTCACTAGTGCGAACAACACGTTAAGTGCATCACCACGTGCAGTCACGTCACTGCTGCAACAATAGCAGATGTGAGCAGATGGTCAAGAATAATATACTTCGACAGCAAGCTTTTAAATACACGTAAAACCATCAAAAAATGCAGCTTCATCGATTCCTTGATTTCTGAAAGAAACAACTTTGACAAAACGGCACCCAGTAAAGCTGCTTAGACTTCATAACTCGAATCCAACCACGCATGCGAGGATACCACCACAACTAACGACACTGACCGTGTACAGATCAGATACCCTTGATCTTGATGTTGACGAGGGCAAGTGAACATATCAAGCTTCTATGATTTTGTTTTGGTTTGGTTTGATCAACAAAAAAGGCGAGCGAAAATGAACCAAAATAACAAAGGTGGTGATGGGACCATGAGACCTCTAACAGAGGATGCTACAAGATCAGCCTTCGTAACTGTGCCTCCTCCTTCCCACCAGCAGCCACCAACTTCAGCTACAGGGATTACTGCGTCTCATCTTGCCGCGATGGCTGCTGGCTCTAATGGATTTACACCGATGGACCATAGTGCTGCCTTTATGATGTCAAATGCAGCTGCAACGATAGCCGCAGTTGCAGCATCGGCAGTCCAGCAAATCACGCAAGCGAAGACACCTTCCGCCGCAACAGGAACGCCCGCGCCTGGAGGACCAACCGCGGCTTTACCCTCGTCCTTGTATCATGCTGCTTTACAAGGAAATCGGAATGCATTGATTCCTGGAACATCTCAAGCACAAGCAGTTCCACCAGTAACTCATGCAGCACTGCTAACGGCGTTAGCCAACGCTGGTCAAACGGGAGCTGTTCAAGGAATTCCATCCCCTCCATCTGTTCCAGGTCACACCGATGCGGCGTCAGCTGCATCCTCACTATTACGTCCAAATGCTCCGGTTCTTTCACAGCCTACATCAAGCCTGGCATCACCAGCTCTACTGTCCGATATGCAATCCTGGACTTTGGAGCAACTAGGTGGGTAAAAGAATCGATTTACAGATTGGAGATATTCCCAACACCATACTCTCACACATTTTTGATTCCTTCGTTCATGTACTGACGTGTACGTGTACTATCTTTCTGCCTGTATATCTACAGATAATCACATCAATTTGCTACAGCAAATGAATCAGCCAGTTCCACATTCTGTAGCTATATTGCGTGCAGAGGCTGAACGAAAGATGAAGAAGAAGAATGATAAACGTGTAGCGAATCGAAAGTCTGCAAGCAATTCAAGAGCACGTAAGAAGGCTTTGGTAGAAGAGATGACGAAAACCAATGCTCGTTTAAAAAAGCAGGCTATGATTTTGGCATTGCTTCCGGACTTGGTGATGACGACAACCACAGACGGAGAGATCACTTTCTGTAGTGCCCAAGCCGAGCGTATACTCCGATACAAGACAGATGATCTAGTTGGAGCAAAACTGTACAATTTATTGGTCCCATCATCAAGACACGCATTGAAGACGCTCATTGAGGAACTAGTACATCCTGGAAAGGCGAAGGCTGCCAGAGCTTCTGCTGCTGCGCAAGCTCGGCGGAGTACAAAGCGTACTATTTCGAATCAGAACAAGTCTGCAGATAGAAACGATGCAAACAAAAACAGAGAAGAAAATACAAATGAGAATAGCAATGGATCTGCTCGGGACTCTTCTCGTAACGGGGGTAATTCTACAGATGACACCTCAGGCGCAGCTGTTGTGTCTGAACAGTCTTTCCCGCTGTCAGTTGTGGAGGTTGAGAGTAAACAACAGGCACAGCAACAAAACAAAAGAGCAGGGGCTGGAACAAACGAAAATCTTGACTCATCAACGGGAGGTAAGCTTCCACTACGATTCATACTACAAACTTTGTTATCTATTTTGGATCATGCTTACTGAATTTTTCCCTCTCTTTTCTGTACCTTTAGGCTCGGGTGAAGACGACGGTGGGGCACCTTCAGAACCCCAGAAAAAGGAATCAAACAAGACTATGGCAAGAGCTGATGACTATTCATCGCTATCATCGGAGACCAAAAACCAATGTGCGAACAGCAATCTTGATCGCAATGTTCGTTGGCATAACCAACGGATGCTAGAAGAAAGCAACAAAACCGACAACGGGCCTAAAGACGATGTAACTGGTGCATCTGTGACAGCAAATAATGCTAGCGCACGTCTCTCCTCACTTGAACATTGCCCCGATGCCTCTCGAACTAAGAAACGCGAACAGTGCCCTCCTTACGAGAGCGCAGGCGACCAATCTTCGTCGGACGACTCTCTCTTAGCTGGGGTTGAAGAGAAGAAGAAATCCGAAGACGCGTCGGACGATTCGGGGTACAGAGAATCAAATGATTCACGTGAGGAAAGTTCATCTTCGTTGAGCGATACTTCCAGGTCAAACGGTAAGTCACCAAATATGATTGTTCACTTTGATGAATACACTTTGTCATATGTTCATTCTGACGCCTTTTTCCCTTTTCAATGATGAAAAGACCATCGAAAGAAGCCTCTGGCTCCTACTTGTCGAATGTGTCTCATACGCGATGATCTAACAACAGTCTGGTGCGAAGTAACTTCTTCCATCAGAAATAAGTCATCTGATGAGGATGGCGGGGATGGGAAGGCTACAAATTCGAAGTCTACTGAGAGCAGTGAGACTTCTGGGCCTAAAGCAGATCAAGAGATACTTCTTTGCTTGAGGCCTATCCGAAATAGTTCGAAAAAAGTAGACGCATCTTGCCGTTTTGTTCCGCCAAATAAACAGTTGACTTCAGGAGCCTTCAAGGACACTTTGGACCCCTGGATCTCAACGAGCAGTAGCGGGGAAATCAACAAAGTAACGAGCAATTCTGATAAAAGTACTAACAGGTTCAATTCAAAACAAGACCCCAACAAGAAGCGTCCGCCAAAGAAAAGGCTTCTTGCAACTGGTGCTGATGCCTACAAAAACAATTCTGATGAAAAGCGAGCAAAAACCGAGAGTTCAAACAACACACAAGGTCCCAATGCCTCTGAAACTGAAAAGAGTGTCGTTGAGTCGCTAATGCTTATGAACAAATCTTCACAGTGATCACTACTATCATAATCATTGAACATAGCTAGTAGAAACGCTACATTGCAACATAATAGGTATTCAAGTTTTTTTAGTCACCAGTATTTTTTATATTTAGGTGTACCGAGTGTAATCTGTATCAGTACTACTGGTGATAGTAGAAAGAATACTCTTGATTATACTGATGAGTATACAGACTCTGTGTGCCCTCCCCCTGTAGAGAGTAGCCTTGTTATGGTCCTCCCAGAATACCTATCACCGGTAGTGTAACCTGTGAGGAGATAGAGGTGGACATTTTATTGTTTCGAATGTGCAATTTCAGCTACAACTTCTTATTCTTTTGAGACCAAGCATTAGTATTTGCTGTCAATGTTGGAAATGGATTTGTTCTAGACCAAATTGCTCAAAATGTCATCTAGTTTCAATAAGCTTGTTCATCCAATGCTGCTGGTTAGTAATGAATCAGCGTAATTGGTGGTGATACTAATTGTTCTACAGATATGCTGGCATTAGTGAAATTTCTTATCCCATTAGAACAAGAATGAGAAAACTACCAAAAAACTTCTACTACTTGTACTGATTGTAGTAGTTCAGGCTTCAACCATCAGAGTCAAAGCACTACTAGTAGTAATTATTTTTGTCAAAGATTAGTAGGCTCAAGCCTGAAAATTTGTTGTATGTGAAAATTCCAAAACAACCATTAGCAGCAGACAAGGCAGCAGTACTATTAGTGTCATTTGATGAAATACTAGAACTAGTAAACTAATAGTTGTATTCTAGGTACCAGTACTACTACTAGCAGTATTACTATCTTTACTAAAGAAGTTTGACGATAAAGTAGTATTAGGACTGTCTGAATACACCCAAACATCAAAGATTAACAGCATTTTAACAATTATTATGACCTTGCTTGCCAGGTTCCCAGAGAACAGAATGGTCTGCTTCCTTATTACACACAACTAGACTAATGCTAGCATTCAGCTGCACTTTGAAGGTCTTAAAAGTCACCCAGCAACTGCTGTCTGAAACACTGGTGGGACTGTGGAGAGGAAGTATGTGTAAGGACCTGGTATGTTTATCAAGTGACTGAAAACACAAAAAATCACCAGCATAAAATGGGATTCTTTGCCCCGTCATTGACCTCCCCTTATCAAATAATGCTCAACACAAGCCACTGGTGGCAACATCACCTCTAGTAGTAGTTGATTTTATGAAGATCTGATAGTGTAACATGGTGCTTCCTCTGGTGGCTTTGAGCATAATGACAAAGCAGGGTGGGCTGGTAGCAGTGTGCCCAAAGTCACTCATAGCAGCCACAAAAAGCACCTTGTCCGAAGGAAGACCTTTGCCTTTGGTACCAACGTCTCTCTCACCATCCTATTATGATTTATCACAGACATTGCCCCAAAATCACTATTTGAGACTGTTAGCTTCTTTATCACCAGTACTAGTAGTACTATCTATTGCTACTATATTGCCACGCTATTTGAAAGGGGCACAACCAGCCAATCTTTTGGCTTTGCAAGAACAAAGCACACCAGGGGGTCCAAATGAAACAAGGAAGACCTACTACCAGTGGCCATCATTCTTCAACAAGGGGGGTGCACCAGCTCCTTATATATGTCCATTTATCCAAAATGTGGGCTAGTTCACCAAATAAACTGGCCATATGGAATCAAGTGTCCCAGTAGTTTGAGAAACAAAAAGTTCACAACTGAAAATGAGTATTAGAACAAGGGAGATACTATTATCCAAATCTAACTTGAGAGATGGTTTTGATCTATTCTGACTGCAACAATACAAAGTGGTTAAAGGGTTTTGATATATTCTGACTGCAACAATACAAAGTGGTTAAACAGGTTTGATATATTCTGACTACAACAATACAAAGTAGTGAAGGGACCCTGATATATTCTGACTGCAACAATACAAAGTGGTTAAACAGGTTTGATATATTCTGACTACAACAATACAAAGTGGTTAAACAGGTTTGATATATTCTGACTACAACAATACAAAGTAGTGAAGGGACCCTCTTCATTCCTACTACTAATAGTAGTAGTAGTAATCTGGGAAAACAAGAATTGTCTGTGGTGGTAGGAAGGGGCATCTCATCCCTAGTACTAGTACTACCAGTACCATAGTATCACTAGTAGTGGTATTGTTTGTTTTAGAATGTCAGTCAAATGGTAGTACTACTAAATACTACTAGTAGTAGCACTAATACTGGTGCTACTGGTAAATAATAGCAGTATCTCAAACTAAGATGATGATTGCCAGCAGTGCTTGCCTTCCAAACTATCACCTCTGTTCCAAAAGAATGGTACAGTTTGCCCCACTCTATTTTTTCCAAAATAATTGTGCAGTATTTACTTCACGATTTTGGGAGATTTTGGCCATTGGATTCCATGAATGACTCTGTAGAACACATATAATCAGTAGGAACATAGAAAAGATTGGCATTTGCATGATATAAAAATTATTTTTGCACGCTACCAAAATAAAGTGGTGTGTTAACAAGGGAAACAAAATTTTGACAATGGTAGTACATAAAAGGAGCAACTCTTTTGAACAAGAATGACAAATGCAAAGAGTCCTCATCTATTGCAACAAGAAGTTCAAGAAGTACTACTAGTATCATAGCCTCATAAATTGTCTGCTTTTAGTACTCCTAATACTAGCTACTACTACTACTACAAGTAGTAGTAGCTACTGCTGTGTGCTACTAGCTAGAAGTGATTAGGAAAATCTGTCAATTTCTCCAGAGAACTCAAGTAAACCATAATCTTTTTGTTGTCATATTCTTCAAACTGAGTGAAGGATTTGGAGGTTCTGTAGAAGAGCCATTCACGTGTCAAGTCTTCGTTCCAGCAGTTGGACCAATCTGTTGGTAATGTACATACAATAGAAATGATGCCAGTTTCACAATGGCTTGGAGGAAGGGTCGCAAGCTGATTTTTGTTGGTGTTGTATGACACCTTGGCTGAGTATAATTTACCCAGTGTTTTCCAGTGACGGACCAGCATGAAAACAGTGGGATGTTCTAGCTTAAGGAAAATGACTATGGTTTCATCCAATTGGCTGGCAGGGTTGCTCAGAGGGACAAAGACAAAAGAGGAATTGTGTAGTTGGGGTAAAAAAGGTGTAAAACTCATCAAATTYGAGGGCCAGAGAACCTGCAAAATGCAAGAGACGCAACAAAGAAAATACTGCAACTGTTTCTATCCTGTTCAAGTTCTTCCAGAAACCACAAAGTACTTCATTGAATAACTTCTCTCTGCTTACTTCATCTTTTGACAGTGAGACAACATCTGCTGCGTTTGGAAGATGAGGAGGGCACATCAGAGAACATCTCTCCCCCACATACTTCTGTGCACGAGGCAATTGCAACAGTAACTTCCGACATTCCTTGAGAAATTTTAAATGAACACCAGATGCAAAAAAGGTTTTGAGTGTTTCTTGTTCAACAAGCAAGTCAAAGATAGAAAGAACCATTCAAAGTAGTCGTGGTTGGCTTTTGTTAGGTGTTGGGAGGACCAATCAAACCAAAGCAGTCCTTTCTYGCACTGATCAGGTGCAGGTGGGTATTCTACATTATTCATATAAAAATGAATGGAATGCCTGTAGAGAGCGAGATACCTACACATTGTTTCATAGGAAATCAAACCACCTTGGTTATCAGAAACGTCATTCTTCATGTTCTTGTTAAGAATTGCTCTAGCTTTTGACGCCCCAAGCACAGTGAATAGTGAGTTATATTCCTCCTTGCAATTCAGATGGGTAAGCCTCGTGGAAAAGGGTGAGGATTTTTCCCATCAGACAGTTTGTATTTTTTTGAGGTACCCACAGGGGATGTAGTATACAAAAAGAGGTCAATGCCAAAATGAATAGAAGGCATCTGTAATGATTCTTTGAAAGTAGAATTGGTTTTCTTTGTTTCTGCAGACAAAAGTGCCTTCGATATCTTCGTTAACACAAAAACACAATCACGCAAGACGCCAAAAGTAGTCTTGAGTTCGTTGCAAACAGTTTTGATGAAGGAAGGAGTAGCATATTGTGCTTCAGTTTGTTTCCAACATATAAGAATTTAGCAGTTTGCAATTTTTTCAAGCATAAGTTGTCTTGGTCAAGAACCTGTGCCCTATTCGTAGTGAGAGGTGTATAAGAAGGATTGGCTACATGACAGTTGGTTGGGGGGGGTTCGCTTTTTCCTCCTAGAACAACTTTTTGTGTGTTTTGTTTAAGATTTGGTAGTGCCTTTTGCTGCTGCAGCAGTTGCTGGTTTGCTTGGGATATCACTACTATTTGGGCGTTTCTGTTTGCTATAACCAGTGGAAGGAGTTTGCGGAATAAAGGCCGGATTAGATGCACTTCCTGAACGAGTCCTACAAGAAGACATGACTGTTTTTGAATAACTATTGAGCTTATTAATAGAAGGTACATCAGCAGGTACTTAATACAACTATCTGTATTGTTGAAATAAATTAGTCTAAATAAAAAAAGAACCATTACAATCGCTCATAATCCAGCTAAAGAGGTGCAAACTGTGTTGTACGTACTATTACTACTATGGACTAGAGCGAGATTACTACGTAGTACAGTACAATATTTCTTATTTTCTACTAGTATTTTTTACTCGWAGCTACTTTGAAGTACCAGGTACTTAAGTGCCGATCCAAATTCGAAACCAAGACGAAACACGACTAAAAAAATTCAAAAATCCCGAGGATGGTTTGACGCATTCAATTGTTTTGAGATTTGAGAGAGTATCAATCAGAATTGACTTACTCGTACTCGTTTGTTGCAGCAAAGGTGCCCTTGAAGCGAAAAGAGAGAACAAACAAAGGTAGAAACCCGCACCGATTGAACTGTTTACAATACGACACCATGGTATGTTCGCGACCAGCTGACGGAGATTTTGCATATTTTATTTTACGTTCTCTTATCCGTATATTTCGAATATTTTTGTTCTCTGTCATTTTTGCTTTCGCAGGTACCTTTTATTTCTTGCATCGTCTCGAGTGTGACCTTTTGCTTTTGTTCGGCAGGAGCATCATTGATGGGAGCTTGCTGTGGCAATGACAAACCTAGTTCCATTGCACCTGGATCATCGTCTGGAAGAAAGCGTTCAGTCCTGCTCTTGTGCATAGCCATCGCTATCGCATTTGTATTTCAGTACTGGGTTGCACATTATGTTGTCAATATAAAAATTGATAATTACGTGACAAATGCTTGGTTGAGTGGTTGCAATGACCTTGAAACCAAAGCTCTTGTGGAACGTTGTGCCGGACAAACAGGTGTCTATCGAGCTGCGTTTAGCGCATTGGTATTTTTCCTCCTGGCGGCCGTTGCCGTTGCCTGCAAGAGGACAGCTAATCGAGAAGCTTGGCCTGCAAAGTACATCTTATTCCTTTTCATGGTTGCTGGCATGTGCTTCGTGCCGAATGATCCACTATTCACGAGCATTTATCTGAATGTCGCCAGAGTTGGAACTATTTTCTTCATTTTATTTCAACAAGTGATCTTTGTTGATCTTGCTCATAATTGGAACGACGGATGGGTCGAAAGGTCAAACAAAGCCGAAAGCGAAGAGACGGGTTCTGGAAAAAAGTGGCTAGTAGCTATTGTAGTAAGCGCTGCTTTTCTGCTTCTTGCTTCCATGGTGGGATGGGGACTACTATTTTACTTCTTCGGTGGCTGCGGTACCAATGTTGCTTTCATAGCAATTACAATTATTCTATCACTGACGGTCATCGGAGCGCAGCTGACTGGAAACGAAGGTAGTCTTCTTGCTAGCAGTATAATTACAGCGTATGCAACCATGCTTTGCTACAACGCAGTTGCCCGAAATCCGAACGCTGTGTGCAATCCACAACTCAAAACCGATGACGTTCTTTCCATTGCTATCGGTGTGGGACTTACAGTTGTAAGTCTCGGCTATGTTGGATGGTCAGCAACCGCCGACAATTCGCTTGGTGGGGACGCGACGTTCGACAGTTCCGATGACGATGATATTGAAAATATCGATACGGCTTTGTCATCTACGGAAGAAAACTCGAGGATTACTGGCGTGGTAGCAAATTACCAGAGTACAAAGATCGATAAAGACAACAAAGTAGGAGTTGGAGAGACTGGAGAAAATTCGTCGAAGGAAAATATCCCCAATACATTTTCAAACAATTGGAAACTCAACGTTGCGTTAGCAGCAGTAACTTGCTGGTTTTCGATGGCGCTGACAGATTTTGGCACTATCCAAGCGGATGGTACCGTGGCCAATCCCCAAATCGGTGATGCCAATATGTGGATAATCATCGCTTCCCAATGGTTTGCACTGTTGCTCTACATCTGGACACTAATTGCACCTAGGGTCTTTCCTGACAGAGATTTTTCATAGGTTATCCGATCCCTCGACCCAACTCAATATTCTAGTGTACTAGTATCATGTGACGTAATGATTATTTTTGCTTTGGAATATTGATATCTTTTAATGACGTTGTGATGTTGACCTACTGCTTCATCCTGCTACTATTAGGTTGGCACACGGTAATACTAATCCAATCCCAAAGCCATCKCATTGAGCAAGCCCTGCGCACTGCCAAAAAAGTGAGAGAAAACCAAAGCAATTTTGATTGTATCATTTCCTACCAGATTATAAAATAATGATTGCAAAATTCCAACCAATGATTACAATAGATAAGACTGCAATATCATCATATTTGAAGGAAGTGTTTGTTCTACTAGGAGGTCATTATCAGGAGAACAAAAATGAACAATATCCTCTTTTGACTACACTACTACTAGCACCAGTAGTATTATGTTGTTGAAGCTAAACTAGTAGCACATTTAGCACATTTAGAATAATGGGAATCAATTTTTTGATGGACAGACTGCAAGGAATGGTGGCTCTCTGCCAGTGTTTTTGGGAATTTGGAATCTTCAATAGTTTGTAATGACTAAAACAAGTAGGTCTGTCTTAGATTTTGTCAGGTTTTCCTCTGTTGAATCTTACACAAATTTGATTCATGTGTTCTGTTATACTACTAGATTTAGTAGAACATTTTGAATGGGGTTTTTGGCCCATTCAAAAAATGCTAAATCTATCCATACCATGTGCACGAGATTACGTGTACTCTTAGTAGGTGTTAAGTGTGTATGAAAATTGAATTATAAGATTAGATATAAGATTAAGATTCTCGCGCTCGGACTTGAGCTTTCAGTAGATCTGATTAGATCCTGTGTAGCTCTCGGTACTAAATCTACACAGAGTTCTTATTATTCTGATCTACTGACATCTTTGTTCCGTGCGAGGTATTCTATTTCTGATATCGTAGACCTCTTACGATCCTCGGACCTCTTACGTATTCAGTATTCGGTCCTCTTATGATGCATCCTATGATACATACATAGGAAGCGTACCTTACGATAGATACGTAGGAATGGTATGATCCCTCATTCCTTTCTTCGGAGCTTCGGACGTACCGTACGTATACTTCCGATACAGTACGTACGTACGTAAGCATCCGTTGCATGTAGTAAAACTATCAAACCTTTTAAGCAG